GTAATTAGATTAATGCAACCTCTGATGTTCTCTGAAGATAAAATTACTAAATTACTCAATCCTGATCACAGAGATATGCTTCAACAACACTGCAATGATAAAGGGGGAACCTAAACTTGTGTGGCTTAAAAATATGTTTGTTGATAATGTTGCTTTATGTATGAGCCCACAGGCACAGCGCTGTCAGCGTCATTAGAGCAGGACTCATTCTGGGAAACAGCGAGAGCAATAGAGCAGAACTGTTGCATCATGTAATCGCTGTCTGTGTCAACATGATAAACAAATGCACGCATGCCACCCACACACACAGCAGACCAGGCATGTCTAATGATGACAAACACTGAACAAACTGTAAACTGAACTTAATTATACGCATCAGGACCCCCCCCCTCCCCCAGTTCTCTTTGGAGAAGGGCGGCGTACGAGGCGGGCTGGGCGTAGAGTTGTGTAGAGAGAGAAGGGCGGCGTACGAGGCGGGCTGGGCGTAGAGTTGTGTAGAGAGAGAAGGGCGGCGTACGAGGCGGGCTGGGCGTAGAGTTGTGTAGAGAGAGAAGGGCGGCGTACGAGGCGGGCTGGGCGTAGAGTTGTGTAGAGAGAGAAGGGCGGCGTACGAGGCGGGCTGGGCGTAGAGTTGTGTAGAGAGAGAAGGGCGGCGTACGAGGCGGGCTGGGCGTAGAGTTGTGTAGAGAGAGAAGGGCGGCGTACGAGGCGGGCTGGGCGTAGAGTTGTGTAGAGAGAGAAGGGCGGCGTATGAGGCGGGCTGGGCGTAGAGTTGTGTAGAGAGAGAAGGGCGGCGTACGAGGCGGGCTGGGCGTAGAGTTGTGTAGAGAGAGAAGGGCGGCGTACGAGGCGGGCTGGGCGTAGAGTTGTGTAGAGAGAGAAGGGCGGCGTACGAGGCGGGCTGGGCGTAGAGTTGTGTAGAGAGAGAAGGGCGGCGTACGAGGCGGGCTGGGCGTAGAGTTGTGTAGAGAGAGAAGGGCGGCGTACGAGGCGGGCTGGGCGTAGAGTTGTGTAGAGAGAGAAGGGCGGCGTACGAGGCGGGCTGGGCGTAGAGTTGTGTAGAGAGAGAAGGGCGGCGTGTGAGGCGGGCTGGGCGTAGAGTTGTGTAGAGAGAGAAGGGCGGCGTACGAGGCGGGCTGGGCGTAGAGTTGTGTAGAGAGAGAAGGGCGGCGTACGAGGCGGGCTGGGCGTAGAGTTGTGTAGAGAGAGAAGGGCGGCGTACGAGGCGGGCTGGGCGTAGAGTTGTGTAGAGAGAGAAGGGCGGCGTACGAGGCGGGCTGGGCGTAGAGTTGTGTAGAGAGAGAAGGGCGGCGTACGAGGCGGGCTGGGCGTAGAGTTGTGTAGAGAGAGAAGGGCGGCGTACGAGGCGGGCTGGGCGTAGAGTTGTGTAGAGAGAGAAGGGCGGCGTACGAGGCGGGCTGGGCGTAGAGTTGTGTAGAGAGAGAAGGGCGGCGTACGAGGCGGGCTGGGCGTAGAGTTGTGTAGAGAGAGAAGGGCGGCGTACGAGGCGGGCTGGGCGTAGAGTTGTGTAGAGAGAGAAGGGCGGCGTACGAGGCGGGCTGGGCGTAGAGTTGTGTAGAGAGAGAAGGGCGGCGTACGAGGCGGGCTGGGCGTAGAGTTGTGTAGAGAGAGAAGGGCGGCGTACGAGGCGGGCTGGGCGTAGAGTTGTGTAGAGAGAGAAGGGCGGCGTACGAGGCGGGCTGGGCGTAGAGTTGTGTAGAGAGAGAAGGGCGGCGTACGAGGCGGGCTGGGCGTAGAGTTGTGTAGAGAGAGAAGGGCGGCGTACGAGGCGGGCTGGGCGTAGAGTTGTGTAGAGAGAGAACCTAACTTTACAAAGATCAATGTATATTTAATTTACACAGTGAGGAATACGCTGTGTTATTGCACATTTGATTACTTTATTCAAATTCCTGTACCTGAAAACTACTGTTAGACCTAGACCTACCTGAGTTTATTAATTTGTAGCCTCTATTTGTTGAATTATTGTTAATTATTGTTAGTCATACGTACTGCGGCAGGAATCAGATTTCACTGATCATATGATGAGTAAGTGACGATATGAGTGACAAGACGCCGCCGGTCCTCCTTACTCACAGAGTACTCGCGATCACGAAATCGAAAGTGTAAATAAAACACAAGTGCGTATTCAAACTCAACTTCAATACCCCGCATTTGATGGCGGCTCCTTGAATCATGCGAAGATCTCCCAATATAAAAGTTTTCTTATGGGCTGTATAACTGTAACCTTCTCGTAGCGAGACGTTTGGTCTTTATTTCCACTTTGAATATTGAGAGATACTTTGATTATGGTTGCACTTATTGTGTGCACTTAATAAGACTTAGATAAAACTGTCATTAATTTTAATTTATACTGTTTTTATTTCTGTGAACAATTTGTGGAAATGACTTCAGTTAGGAGGTCAAACGTTGCAGAATCTCATAATGTACAGCAAGGTCTGACGAGACTCTGAAATCTAACAGGAGAGAAGCTGGTCAGTGGAGTTTGTGGCAAAACCTTTTACAGTGCTTGAGTATTGTTGTCTTCTACTGCATATGATGATTTAGACATAGAAAGGAGAAGTGAAATGACATTCATTACAAGATGATTAGTTAAAACATTTCAAATGCACCTGCAGACTATTTTTCAAGTCATGTTTTTCATCATTGAGGATTTCTTACAAATACTTTCTTAAAAAATCTCTTCTCGTCTCGTTTTTAAGCCAACTAATATAATTCATTCATATCAGGATCGGACTCGTTCTGGAAAAAGTGGTATTGGTGCTATTATAATATAATATATTATAATAGGGCACCTTAGATTATATTAGATTATATTATTTTCTTCAGATAAGGGACAAAACATGCCCTACACACCCTCTTTATCTAAAAAAAATAATAATAAAGAAATTAATCAAAATAGAAGATACATCTAAAGAAAATCTGAATACTCATTGCTTTTATTTTAATAATTAAATAACTTCGTTTGTATTATTTTTAATACATGCTCTATACTTGGAAAATAATAATTGATGTGGATTATGGTTAGGGTTAGAGTTTAGCTAAACACAGGCTATAGATCCTTCGTTAGGGAGATTTCTGATTCTGCAGGGCGGCACATTACAATGCTTACCGTTACACTCAAACTAACATCCGCTTCTCGTATTCTGTGAGCGAGTGGAGACCCAGAATGAGATGCACTGTACTGCTAAAAGGAGAAAAACAAACCTCTGGAAGGATTGTTGTTTTAAATTAAATATTAGTATAAAATTAATTGTCTTAATTTGTTGTCAATCGTTTGTTGTACCGTCAGTTGGACCTTTGTCAACAGTTTTTAACACCGTCAGATGAAGGTTTCTATTAATTTTTAAAGAAATATTTTATTATTTATTTATAAAACATCAACTGAAATACATGATATTATGACTGATTTACCTATATGTTTAATATTAAAAAGAAGGGTAGAGATTTAAGGAATTTAAGAACAGATATCCCGAACTCATTTTTTTATACCAGTATTACATGATTGAAGACTTTATATTGTTGTTGGATGAATCAAAATAAATGTGTAATGTTTAATGTGTTTTAAGTTATGTAATTACTAATTAGGTTATGAAGTGAATAAATTACATTTTTAGAAAAAAAAGAAAAAAAAAACATTTTCAGAAAAACCTGTTTCTTCACATGGTTAATTAGCTGAGACCTTTTCTCAATTTATAATTAAATGTACTGTTAAATAATAAAAACTAACTTCTAAAACATGTTTTGTCCCTTATCTGAAGAATCAGTGATTATTATTATATTATTACTATTGCAATAACACTGATATAGAAGAACCTAACACTGGTTGTAATCTTAAACTTGACTTGACTTAAACTTTAAAGGTGCAATGTGTAAAAATATCTGAGTATCTATTAACAAAAATGCAATATGACATCCATAACTATATTTACAGATGTATATAATAGAACTTAATTAATAAACCGTAATGTTTTTATTACCTTAAGGCTTAGAATGAGACATTTATATCTACATAACCGTGGGCACCCCTTTTATTAAGGTCTACATATTGTGCCGTCATGTTTCTACCGTAGCCGAACGCGAACACACAGCGCTACAGAGCGCGCTTCGCCACTACACTGAAAGAGAAGCCGCAGAAAGCTAGAAGCCATAGACCCCGTGAGTAGTGACTTTTCCCTTGTGAGTGGTGTAAAATATGTAGTTGGACTGTTTCATGTTACTTATGAAGGGATTTGACCACCCCTTCATCGCTGTGTTATGGGTTTGCTATGTGGGGATAAATGTGCTGTTACGTTCGTGAGACAGCTGATTAGTACATGTCATTGACCGTAAAACAGTATGTTACAGGAATCACTAACCCGTCGATCTTGGAAGAGATCTAAGTCGATCGCGAAGAGTTTTCAACATCAGAGAAAAAGCCTATTGTGTGTAGTGAATGGTGTCTATGAGATGCGGAGGTGCGCTGCTGTTACAATCATGTCATTTGTGCCGCGCGCACCTTTGGGCTCATGCGGACGCGTCGAGTATGAACAAGGCGTTACGCTTTAACCAGTTCAGCCACAGTAACAGCTCATATTAGCCAGCTAAACCTTTACTACCCTGTTAGAAAACATATATAGCTGCATAGTTTCATGTGGCTCTTCTCCCTCGCTGTATTGCTACATGGGGAGAAATGTGCTGCTGGTTACGTTTGTGAGACAGTCAGCTGATTACTATTATTATATTAAGACCCTTGATCCTCACCGGACTATGGCTTTGTAAAATTTATCCATGATGTGGTTTATAATGGACTGTGGTTCAGAAACAACGTGACAGTGTTACACACTTCTGGCTTACTCTGGCTATTCTCTGCTGTCTCAGCCGACGAGATGTTTGTCCCGTTTTAGCCACCGTAGCTTCTTCGAAAGGGAGGTTGAGCAGTGGGCTGAGCCTTTAGTGCAAACCTGGTGCAAACTCGCAACTGAACCGCTAGATGTCGCTAAAAATCCCACACTGCACCTTTAAACTTGTCCCTCAAATCTTATTGGTTGTATTGAAATGTTGTTCCAGGAACATGTTAAACTTGGTGAAATCGGGTTCTGCATGTAGGACAGTACAACTTTTATTTTATTTTTTTTAGTGGCGGACTTAACTCTCAACCGCACATAGCAGGATTCAAACCGGCATGAGAGGTGGGCACGTTAACAAGAGCACTAAAAAATCTACAACGCTTTACCATCAGTCGCTAGTGCTTCTCTTGAGATAAAAATATAAATTCAATTATTATTATTATAATGTTACCTAATGGATGGATGTGTGGATGTACACATGTGTATTAGTGCCATATAGGACCATCATTCCAATTTTAGGGTCTCTGCAATATACATTGTCTGATGCCCAAAGAGTCTCAAAAGTAGTAGTAGAAGAAGAACAGGGTTCAAGATCCTTCTTAGTTTTGACCCCTAAAAGTTCAGTTCAGTCACTCCAGATTTGTAGGTATGATCATAAAAGCCACAGTGAGAATAGCTATTTGTCGTCAGGTCAGAATAAGGTGTCATCATCTGCTGCTCCCAGCCATGGTGAGAGCCTTAAGAGCTGTGGCCCCGAATCACGAGTTTGACTCATGCAAGGGTCGGATGCGTCAGACTCCAGCGAGCTCAGTGACCCCATGACCTCAGACTCCAGCGAGCTCAGTGACCCCGAGACCGACCCCGTCCCCTCAAACGCATATGTGTGCAGACAGTCAAAGGGTGGGACGTAGGGGTCTTCATCTGCCTCAGCCAGACGATCCATAATAAACTGTTGAAAGACCCCGTCCTCTGGTCCTATGAGGTGAGAGTGACGTAGAGACATGCGGATACTGCTGGTGACGTGTTCTCGACAGAGCTTACGCTCTCGCCGGTGCGGATGCCGAAGAGAAACTGTTTGGTTGGACTGTGTCTCTGGCACTGTAAAACTCAAGATTTTCTCAGAGAACTCTTCTGTTTCCAGCTCTTGTGTTGCTATTTTCTCCTGCCGTACTGTCTTGTATTTTCGCACAGCAAGAATTAACGTGGATAGCACTGCAGGGCAAGCCAGAAAGAGAAGTTTCACCGACACTGAGCCGTCTGTCATGTCATTCACCGATACGGAGCCGTCTGTCATGTCATTCACCGATACTGAGCCGTCTGTCATGTCATTCACCGATACGGAGCCGTCTGTCATGTCATTCACCGATACTGAGCCGTCTGTCATGTCATTCACCGACACGGAGCCGTCTGTCATGTCATTCATCGATACTGAGCCGTCTGTTATGTCATTAACTGATACTGAGCCGTCTGTCATGTCATTCACCGATACGGAGCCGTCTGTCATGTCATTCACCGATACTGAGCCGTCTGTCATGTCATTCACCGATACTGAGCCGTCTGTCATGTCATTCACCGATACGGAGCCGTCTGTCATGTCATTCACCGATACTGAGCCGTCTGTCATGTCATTCACCGATACGGAGCAGTCTGTCATGTCATTCACCGATACTGAGCCGTCTGTCATGTCATTCACCGATACGGAGCCGTCTGTCATGTCATTCACCGATACGGAGCAGTCTGTCATGTCATTCACCGATACTGAGCCGTCTGTCATGTCATTCACCGATACTGAGCCGTCTGTCATGTCATTCACCGATACGGAGCCGTCTGTCATGTCATTCACCGATACGGAGCCGTCTGTCATGTCATTCACCGATACGGAGCCGTCTGTCATGTCATTCACCGATACTGAGCCGTCTGTCATGTCATTCACCGATACTGAGCCGTCTGTCATGTCATTGACCGATACGGAGCCGTCTGTCATGTCATTGACCGATACTGAGCCGTCTGTCATGTCATTCACCGATACTGAGCCGTCTGTCATGTCATTCACCGATACTGAGCCGTCTGTCATGTCATTCACCGATACGGAGCCGTCTGTCATGTCATTCACCGACACTGAGCCGTCTGTCATGTCATTCACCGACACTGAGCCGTCTGTCATGTCATTCACCGATACTGAGCCGTCTGTCATGTCATTCACCGACACGGAGCCGTCTGTCATGCCATTCACCGATACTGAGCCGTCTGTCATGTCATTCACCGATACTGAGCCGTCTGTCATGTCATTCACCGACACTGAGCCGTCTGTCATGTCATTCACCGACACTGAGCCGTCTGTCATGTCATTCACCGACACGGAGCCGTCTGTCATGCCATTCACCGATACTGAGCCGTCTGTCATGTCATTCACCGATACGGAGCCGTCTGTCATGTCATTCACCGATACGAAGCCGTCTGTCATGTCATTCACCGATACGGAGCCGTCTGTCATGTCATTCACCGATACGGAGCCGTCTGTCATGTCATTCACCGATACGGAGCCGTCTGTCATGTCATTCACCGACACTGAGCCGTCTGTCATGTCATTCACCGACACTGAGCCGTCTGTCATGTCATTCACCGACACGGAGCCGTCTGTCATGTCATTCACCGACACGGAGCCGTCTGTCATGTCATTCACCGACACTGAGCCGTCTGTCATGTCATTCACCGACACTGAGCCGTCTGTCATGTCATTCACCGACACGGAGCCGTCTGTCATGTCATTCACCGACACGGAGCCGTCTGTCATGTCATTCACCGACACTGAGCCGTCTGTCATGTCATTCACCGACACTGAGCCGTCTGTCATGCCATTCACCGACACTGAGCCGTCTGTCATGCCATTCACCGACACTGAGCCGTCTGTCATGCCATTCACCGATACTGAGCCGTCTGTCATGCCATTCACCGATACTGAGCCGTCTGTCATGTCATTCACCGATACGGAGCCGTCTGTCATGTCATTCACCGATACTGAGCCGTCTGTCATGTCATTCACCGATACGGAGCCGTCTGTCATGTCATTCACCGATACGGAGCCGTCTGTCATGTCATTCACCGATACTGAGCCGTCTGTCATGTCATTCACCGATACGGAGCCGTCTGTCATGTCATTCACCGATACGGAGCCGTCTGTCATGTCATTCACCGATACTGAGCCGTCTGTCATGTCATTCACCGATACGGAGCCGTCTGTCATGTCATTCACCGATACTGAGCCGTCTGTCATGTCATTCACCGATACGGAGCCGTCTGTCATGTCATTCACCGATACGGAGCCGTCTGTCATGTCATTCACCGATACGGAGCCGTCTGTCATGTCATTCACCGATACGGAGCCGTCTGTCATGTCATTCACCGATACTGAGCCGTCTGTCATGTCATTCACCGATACGGAACCGTCTGTCATGTCATTCACCGATACTGAGCCGTCTGTCATGTCATTCACCGATACGGAGCCGTCTGTCATGTCATTCACCGATACGGAGCCGTCTGTCATGTCATTCATCGATACGGAGCCGTCTATTGCACCCAATATTGCACATCTGCAAATTGTATATGCAGTCTCATTTGCGTACAGAATGTAATTAGCATTATGACACTTCATAAAGCATCAATGTTATTATATTAGTGTGAGGTCACACTGGTATATCAGTATATTTATTATGAGAGCTTATTAGATAGTTAACTGCTGTCATACTTGCCTGGTTGAAGTTTGAAGAATATTCTCTCATTAACACAAAAGCTCTGCTAGAAAAGAGAGTCTTGTGATTCAGTACTAATGCAACCTCAAATATATCCAACAATTGAAAGAGACATGGAGAATATCCTGGGCTGTGTGCCACTTTTAAAAGATTCCCTTAGAATCAGATGGTCATAATTGCATAGTACCACTTCTCATTTAGCCTCACCTGCAAGAGTGATGAGGCAAACAGACAGGCCCAGTAGAATCTGCATGTTGAGATCCAGGGCGAGCGCCTGGGCTTCAACACCAGCTGATGGACAGTGACCGTTCGGCTGGCACACACACACCCTGATGGTGAGAGTGGTGGTGCTGGACAGAATGGGGGATCCGCTGTCTCTGATCACCACTGGAAGATAATAGTGTGTGCGGTCATGTTGGGTGAAGGTGCTCCGCCGTGCCAGAATGCTAGCTGTGTTATCTGCAACAGTTTCAGATTACCATACAATTATATACACAAAAAAGTATCCTGAAGACTTGATCATTTGATCTGTAAATCAGTGGCATGCAGTGTTTTTCTGAAATGAGGAGGCAAAGTCAACGTCAAAGTCAGCGGACAACGGCGCACACTAGGGGTGGAACGGTACATGTATTCGCATTGAACCGAAACGGTACGAGCGTCACGCTTCGGTGCATGAATTTACACTGAGAATACACGGTATAAAAACTCGCGTGCAAATTATTTAATATAATGCGGAACTACTGTTAGATACGTGCGTTCTTTAGGGACACATAATCAGTACCATCCATAGGTACCATCGGCTAGCTCTGAACCGTCTATGCTCTGAACGCGCGTTCACTTCAAACGTTGGCTTTATACGCGCATCCTCGCTTTGGACTAGCGTCGAACTTGACGTGATAGACGTGAATTTGCCGCTCTATTCGGGTTTGGTGTGACCTCATAATGAACAGGCTGCGATGTCAAGATTGCAGTGTGTGTGTGAGAGAGAGAGAGAGAGAGAAAGAAAGAAAGAAAGAAAGAAAGAAAGAAAGAGCGAGAGAGAAAGAGAGAGAGAAAGAGAAAGATAGAGAGATGCGAGCGATAGAACAGTGGAAACATAAAAACTGTTCTTATATTTGTGTAGGCTCAAATATATGCTCCTCTGTTTGTATCACTCATTGGTATTATTTGCCACAAAGTTTTTTTTATTGATGGATCGTTGTTTGTTTAACTATAGTTGTTTAATAAGTCTCGTTTTATTTTGAAATCAACTTCATCTTCCTTAGAAAAGCGTTACACCAACATAGGCAGTAAAAGGCACTGTTTGTGTAGGATGTGAGAACTGGCCATTCTAAACATAGAAAGCTAATGTTGTGGCAAACCTTGGTTGTCTCTGATGGTGAAGTTGGGATTGATGTGTTTGTCTGGGATCATGGAGAAATAGAAATGATGGCCATCTACAGGATCATCTGCATCAGTGGCACTGATCAACTCAATTAGCTTCAAGTGAGACATACAGAGAACATTATGATCTGTGCATGTACATGAATTCAAAAAATAAATAAAACTCATCCAATTATATACAGAATATGGACTTATTAGTGTACATATATTTGTTTTGTATGCTTTGAATACATCAGAGCACTGTTAGCTGTTAATCTTTCTGTTATCTCTTCATCACTGATCTAAACAGTTATTGTAACTAAAAGGGGTGAGCAAGTAATTCTCAGAGGAGACAGAAAAAGCTCAATAATGTCAGGACCGATTATAAAAAAAAGATTTAAATTGGCCATTTGTGTGCGTTACCTCTCCTGCCTGTGTGTCCTCACATACATAGGGCTGGTAGTCTTGTGAAAGGGTAGGCACATTGTCATTGACATCCAGGACAGAGATGAGTAAAGACACAGAGGAGGACAGCTGGTCATCTCCTGAAAGGTGCAGCAACACATACATGTTACTGTCTGTTGCCCATCAATTAATCAATTTTGTTCATTTTCAACGTGTGTTTAAGTAACTCTAAAAGATATATCATGGGGAAAAAGACACTATAGTCTGAAATGTGTGATATTGTAACCTTCGATTTGCTTTCGAGGGTCAGGCATATGAGTACAAGGTCCTCTCTTTCGCCCTTTCCCTGTAACCTTGTATCTTCACAAAAGCTGGACTCACTATGACAGCACGTCACAAAATGAGTGTGCTCAAGATGTTCAAGGGAAAAACACCTGTGGCATTAGCCGTCCTCTGTGGTGATTATGCCACTTGGGTTGATGCATATGACACCGCTTTAGCATTAGCTACTGATTCAAGTCTCGAGACTAGTAGCCAATGCTACATGCTGCAGCAGCACACGTCACGTGCATTTCACGCCAATCTGTTGTTGCTTAATCTGCCCTTGGACAGACCTTGCCTTTCTATGGGCTGGGGTTTACTTGGAACAAGTGTCCAGAGACGTTGTTGTCACAACAGATGTCCAAGACTGGTGCTGTGTGCAATGAGCTTCTGGACAGGACCATTACTGCAGTGACACATCAACTGCCTCAAGTTGCTAGTAATATTGCTGGCCCTTCATTAGTCTAACCGTCGATCCAAGACAAGCACCTTTTGGTCTGGATGGACAACACGGTGACAGCCAAGGCAGTTTATGCTCACCATGCATGTCACAACTTTCCCGCCATCTCCTCCTCTGGAGTCAGCCATGACTGCATGAAATCTGAGCACCCGCAGGGACTTCAAACACAATCGTGCAGTGGACTCGCTTACACGATGAGTTACACTTCAGGGGAAGTGGATGTTGTTCCAGCTGATCTGGAGTCATTTTGGCAAAGTGCAGGTAAACCTGTTTGCTTCCCATTGCCCGCTGTGGTATTCCCTGACTAAGGCCCCCTCTGCATGACCCCAGGGCCTTCGAAGTATGCATTTCACCTAGTGAGCCTACAGACGTTGTGCGTAAGGTCAGAGAACGAAGAACCAGTCTTGATGGTTGCACTACATTGGCCCACCCGCACTTGGTTCTTGGGGCTCATGCACCTCACGACAGCCCCTTCTTAGCGAATTACCCAGAGGAGGGATTTCTTTCTCTGGGACGGGGCACAATTTGAAACCCGTGAAAAGACCTGTGGAATCTCCATGTCTGGCCCCTGGATGGGACACAGAAGACTTGATTGGGCTATTACCAGCGATGATAGACACCAACTCTCTGACTAGAGCCTCCTCTACCAGGTGGCCAATGCTTTGAAATGGAGTCTGTTCGTTAACTGGTGTGCTTCCCGAGGGGAAGACCCACAGAGATGCACAGTTGGGTCAGTGCTTTCCTTCCTACAGGAGAGGTTGGAGGGCCGGCTGTCCGGCATGGTTCCATCTGGACCGCTGGACATAATGGTACCATTTCTACAGTTTAAAGTGAGCAGCGTGTCAAAACAACAGATCAGTTCACAATACAAGCGCTCAGGATTGTTTATGGTAATGATCTTTTGGCTCTATATCCTGTAATATTTTTATCTAGAGCCAAACCAGCTTCATTCAAGCCCTTTCCGCTCTGTGCGCATTAATTCTTTCTCCTACTTAAGACGTACAGCGCCACATTAAGAGCTACAGGTGAAGAGTTTATTTTGAAAACAGTAGCAAAAAAACAGTGAGCAAAATAGATACTTTGGCTAAAACACTGCAAAGAACAAGAATGCTGCAAATACATGTATCTGTCATACAGATGACTCTGACCATTTAACTAAACCAGGTTTGTGGCAGGGCCTTTCCCCATTGCATCAATATCAGACGCGTTGTTTTCAACATGATTGAGCAGCCTAATAGCATATTAGAATGATTTCTGAAAGATCACATGATATTGTTTACAGGAGTAACAATGCCAAAAAATCACCTTTGATCACAGGGACATTTTAAAAATATATATTACAGTAGAAAAAAGTTTTTCTAAACTGTAGTAATATTTCACAATATTACTGTTTTTACTATATTTTTGATCAAATAAATTCAGCCATGGTAAGCAGAAGAGATTTCTTTCTTTTTTTTTTTTTTTTATTTACCGACCACAAACATTTGAATGGTACGACGGCCCGAAGCAGATTCAACTTGTCGAATCGGCCAAAACAAAGCCGACGATGACCAATTTCAACCGAGTCCGACGGTGCGGAACACACTGAGAAAACTTAGTCGGCCGACGCACAAAAACCGCCGACGGCTGACCGCGGGCTCGGTGTGTTCTAGGCTTCAGAGGTTGATGTATGTTCATGACAAGAATGTGCTCACTGATCTCTCTGGCGTTGATGGTCAAGTTGTACCAGGCAGCTGTTTCTCGATCCAAATGTTCGGCCACATACACTGTCCCATTACTAGGATCAATTCTGAATATCTGTCGTGTGTCACTGCTCTTTGAAATGCTGTATCTGTTCAAGGAAAACAATTGTTATTTGGGGAATTTTTTTCTCATATACTTCTATTGTTTGTTACCACATGCAGATTTCAACTATTCACAAAACATGTGGACTGTCTGGACAAGCACATAGACTATATGGCAAACATAATTTATTCTGTTCAGTAGATTCAGAATCTTTCGGTCTGTTTCTCCAGATTGCTCCAACTTTACAGGAGGTTCTCTTATTAGACACAACGTGATTGATGAATGTAAGCTAAGTAAGTAAGTTAGGGTTAGGGTTAGGAAATGTTTGGAAATGTATAGTATTGTAATCTAAAGCTGCTCCTCTCCTAGCATGGGTTGTGATAGACCTAGATAAGATCATTGACCCCCCCCCCAGGTGTAAGGCCAATATGGATAAGAACCAAATGCCTACAAAACACCATGCCTGCCTCAATTGGACTTGACTGCAGTGCGAAACAGCATATTCTCAATAAAGTCTCCTGATTTTCACTTCTGAATTTCCTACAATATCCCTGATTCTCACTAGCCTGACAGTAGAAAGGTGGCTATTGTGTCATGTTGCTAGGTGGGCTTTGAGGGGTTGAGTTTTATTTATTTTTTGGCGTTTGTGTTCATGTTTTTTTTGAGCTGGCCCTTGCAGTTCTGCCCTGGACGTATTACATTGACTGAGTTAGGCCACGTCCACACAAAGCCAGAGCTTCATTCTAAAAAAAAAGTCCGTAGACACGACGGCGTCTCGGAAGATATCTGCGTCCACACTAAACCACTGAAACCGACTGAAAACGATGTAGTAGACATCCAAGACCAGTATGTGGTGCTGTAATTCTGCCATAGAGATACACTAAAAATGCGAGAAGAAGACTTAGAGCATGCGCATAAAACCTTGCGCGCTGTAGGCAGTAAAATAAAAGGCTATGAAATAATATTACGCACAGTTGCTTATTTTCTTTTTTACCAAGAACTTTATTGAACAACCATAAATTGCCTGGTACAAAATAGGCAATCACGATATTCGATTAGTTAGCTGACTCAGAAAGCTTACCACAAAGAACCGGCCGGCAAAAGTAAATGTGTCAAATATAGACATTTTAATTGTTTATTAATAAACTAATTTTCTGTGTCATTCTTGACTGAAAAAAGGAAATTGATGAAGCTGTCTCGCCACTTTGCAGTATTGAACGCGCCCACGGAGTAATGCACTTCATACGGATTAGGCTATAACGCCCGTTTAAACACGATTGTTTAAATCGTGTTTAAACGAGCATGCGTCCATTCAAGTTTGTAAAAGAGAATCGCAAAGCCATGGCAAAACTTTTATTTTAAAAAAAGTTACTGCATATGGTGAACATATTTTGATTACCAAAAACCAGGACACATGGCCCAGAAAACAAATGATACTCGAAGTTTACTCAAAGATGCCTTATTAATTTCAATACAATTAAAATAGGCTATGCCCCCTCTGTGGATAGAAAATTGTTGTATTAAGACACAAAATCAGATAGCCTTCTCAGAGGATACTCAACATGTTTTATTATGAAAAATAATGAATGAAATAATGATTAAAAAATAATGTCTCTTCTGTGTTAGAAAAATAAATATATCAATACTAAAAGAAATACCTTTAAATTGATCAAAATACCTCTCACAAACGTACAAAAACGAACTAGTTTCCTTCCTCTTTATGCTGTTTTTCCTCCTCATCCTCCTTGTCTGCTCATCTCCTATATTTTGCTATAAAGCTGATCTTTTCCAGCGTTTTTTTTTTTTTTTTTTGAAAACCAGGACATCACTTTATAAAAAACGGCCAGGAAGGACGTGAAAACAGCACTGGGATAACAGGACTGTTGGTCACTGGTCACGCTATTGCTGCATAACTTCTGATTTTGAAATAAAAATAGCGAGTGTTTGTGGTACAGCTCACGCAATGCAAACGCAGCATATGTGAAAGCACTTTAGCGCGTGCGGCTCCTGTACCGGATACGCACCGCAACACTCACCGCATACGCACTGCAAACGGAGTATGTGTGAAACGGGCGTAAGAGAGATCTGTTTCTTTTCGTTTTGAATTGTTGTTTGTCAATGTTGTTTAAACGTAGACATTTCAAGATTTCTATATATTTCAGAGTTTCGGATCATTTATGAGGCGAGCTCCAGTTCACGAGCAATGTAAGTTATATCACGCCGGAACGTCCATGTCCTGATTATATTCTGCTATAGCCTATATTTGCTTCTTTTATTAAATCCAGGCAACTGAAACATTTATTAAAATAAAGATAAAATTTATTAAAAAACATATTCATTTCAAAGAATGGCTTTATATCAAAACAAAATTTAATGTGGTCAAAATTAGCTTTCCCGATTTAGCCTTTGGCGCATAGGCTACATGCACCTGATATGCACACGGTTCACTTTTCATAGATTCAATAAACGTTTACTTTACATAGATTCAATAAAAAATATATAACATATTTAAACATAAATATTAAACTAAATACATTTCTTTAATGGATATAACACATACGCTTAACCTACAGGAAAATGTAATGAGTGGAACATTGCAGGGGTGTGTTTTTGAATAGCCAAAATAATCAAATAATTCCCGTCGATCGTCGAATATTATTTTTGCTTTAAATCCCCATCCCTATAATACGAAATCTCTTTATCAGACAACAGCCAAGCAGCATACGAAAGAAAGTAGCCTATAGGCCTAAAAAATAAAAACACATTAAAGTAAATAATAAATAAAAGAATACAAGAGGCTCAGAGTGTCTGCCGCATTATATTTTATTATTATTCAAGCAGTTCGGCAGTTGTTGTCTGACTAGTCGACACGTGGGGTGATGACATCATCGTTTCACAAAATATACGGATTGGCCGTACACGCGAAAACGCAAGGGTGTCGTTTTCAGATTTATCCACCTTGGGACCCGGTTTCAAAAAATAGCGGTTTCACTCTCCCAAAACGCCAATACGTATAAAAAGAATATGTATCGAGCGAAACGCGTCTTCGTGTGGACGGGGCCTTAGAGTCACCTGGCATTGAAGGGTTAGTATAGGTCCAAACGGGAAAGGAGAAAATAGAAATTAAAAATGAAAATTACCTTAAGGGGTTGTTGGTGGTGTCTGTGTCTCTAGCATAGATTGTACCGACTTGAGTGCCAATTTGGGCGCTTTCTAGAACTTTCCAGCTATAAAGTGTTTCAGAAAAGATGGGTGGTTCGTCCACATTTGTCACAGTAATTTTGAGTGTTGTCCTGTCTTGAAACTCATATGCACTTAAAAAACGTGTGTCTATGTTTTCATTGATGGCCTCTGCAACAATGACAAACCGCCTCTTGCTCTCAAAATCCAGTGGCTACAGAGAAGAGAGAACACTTATAAAAGACATAAAACACACAAAAGATCTCCCAAGGGTGGATGTAAGGCTTTTTCTATATCTAAAAGTACTGCCTCAATATGATTGAATGTTTCATAATATAATATAATATATCAAAATAATATCAACACATTTTAATCATTAATTAAAATATTATTCAACAAAATTGTGTTTAAAAATAAAGTGTCTTGAATGTTTGTTCTTGAATCTGAGAACATCATGTTCAACATTTGTAAACAATTATTATAATAGATATACATATACATATAACAGGACTGTACTATGAGACCTGATCCAGTATGACAATCCCCTCTTGAGTGTCAGGGTCCGTCTGGATTGTGAAGGTGCTGCTCTCCTCGAGATCCTCTAAGCTGTAGTTCATTTTAGCGTTCAGACCAACATCACTGTCATCTGCCATTATTCTCCCCACTGTGGTGCCCACTGGGGCTGACTCTGATATAGCAAATGTGTACAAATCTGGACATAGAGCGGAAAATGATAGAACACTTTCAATGTTCATGTGCTTTGGCAACAGAAACACAAAAAATACATATAATGTAATAAATCACTGAATCCTGATAATTATATAAATTGTCACCACTCACACCCATGTGATTTTGTTTTTTTTCTGCTCTCCATGGACATTTATTATTTAACCCTCTTAGAAACAGTTTCCATCACCTCATGTTATATAATGTTTTTTATTAAGCTGTTTTCTATGTGAGCAACATTGGCTGCTCCACAAAAAAGCATAAATTGAGAATAAACCAAAAATAATGTTTAAGAGATTTCCACAACGCATGCGTGAGAATTGCGTTATTTTTCTACTACTTCTTGTGCATGTGTTGTGGAAATCTCGCCTAGGGCAACCAAAGGGATAGAGCCGGCCCTGGCAACATTTTTGACATTAGAACCGACATTAGAACCCCTTACCCTTATTTATTTTCAACACTCACGAGAATACTTTATTACTTCGAACGAAGTAAATATACATTAATGAGCACGTATATTTTTGAAAGAACTAAGTGTTTTTAGCTAAGAATAACAAGAGCTAAGAGTTACACAGTGTAGCTTTAAAATAGGGCCCTATAAGTTTAATATGTTCTGTTGCATTTAATCAGCTGCTGTGCCAGTCTAATGAAATGATTTATTATCAACATATGCGGACATGTTGCTCACTAATGTGCTTTGGTCCGAGCGCTGTCATGATGGCTTACATTAAATTCTGTTGGTTTTGTGGCCAGTTGTCACCATATTCCACTGAAATAACACACAGATTGTGTGATATTACTGTATATTTGTAATGATTTGCATTTTATTACTTTTTGTATAATTTTGGTGTTCGCTTTCATGCTCACTCTGATGTTTGCTTGTGGCATTTCTTGTCAAATGTGCAGTATTATAGAAGAGGACACAGTAACCTAGGCTGATTTTAGGCTGAGTTTACTTTTTTACTGATGAGAGAAGGGGTAACAGGGCCAAGATTAGAGAGTCACGGTTCGCTACTGATATATTCAAATTTTATATTTAAGAAAACCTTAACCCTTTCACAGAAATATAATATAATAATATATGATGTGATAAAGCCATATTTAATGGGTATAAAAGGTCCTGTCTTTCCCATAAGTTGTGGGAAAGGGTTAGGGTTAAGTCATGTTTTGGTTTCTCACTGTGCTGGAAAGTGGGTCCGTTGTCATTGACATCCATTAGGCTGATGGTCACGGTGGTTGTGGCACTGTAGCCTCCGTCAAGTCCCAGCATATCTTTCACCTGAACCACAACCAGATATACCTCCCTGGCTTCTCTGTCCATATTAGACCATGATGTCACAATTATACCTGTGTTGGAGAGAATTAAGAATGAACGTTAAGCACAGACTGTCCTTGTTCAAGAGTGCTAAATGTTATTTCTAGTAAGACAAGTACGTTTGCACTATATCAGGGTTTCTCAAATTTTGATCCTAGCATCTGTAAAACTGCATTCTTCCATCTTAAAAAATATATCTAAATTATGCTATATGCTTTCATAGACAAATGCAGAACAGTTCGTTCATGTCATCAAGGCTAGATTACTGTAATGCTCTACTGGGTGGTTGCCCTGCACGCTTAATAAACAAACTCCAGCTCGTCCGAAACGCAGCCGCTCCAGTTCTTACCAGAACCAAGAAGTATGACCATATTAGCCCGGTTCTGTCAACCCTGCATTGGCTGCCTATTAAACATCGGATACATTTTGAAATCTTTCTGATTACAAAGCATGAAATGGTTTACTGATGAGAGGTTCGCTACTGATGTATTCAAATTTGATATTTAAAAAAACCTAAAACCTTTCAGAGAAAAATAATATAATAATATATGATGTGGTAAAGCCATATTTAATTGGTATAAAAGGTCCTGTCTTTCCCATAAGTTTAATATAATTAATCTGTTAGTTTGATTGACTGATGTACTTGAGCGAGCTCTTAACGCATTATAGTCCTTCATGTCTATTGTTAGGTCTAGGCGATAAAACGATAGCGATACTTATTCATATCAATATCAAGAGTTCAATAAATGTTCGATAATGTTTATGCGCCAAAAGCGGAACAAAACTCATTTGCACCGCGCGCGCGCCTCAGGGACCGTTTATCGGCTCAAAGTCCAAACGGCAGCGCGAGCTCACTAGAGCACGCGCGTTTACTCTGATCGGCCTGGGTCACGAGATCCAGTGAGAAGCACGTGAATTCGAAGAACACAAATGTCTCAGTGATTTAAACCAGTTTAAAGGCAGATGAAACAGCACTGACGAACAGAAGAAACACTGTGCACAACGATACAGTCAGAAGGCTTTTCCGTCTACAATTTCCCATAATTTCCCATGGATTTACTGTAACGTTAGCCCTACTAAAATTAACTGCACTATGAAATGTGGGATTAACATATTGAATTGTATTATATTATTAATGTAAACAATGTAAGGACTAATGGAATATAATAACATTATTTAATAAAGTATTTAGACTACAATTTTTCATACAAATACCATAGAAACCATAAAGTAACATATTGCCATGATTGTGAGGTGCTATAGGCTATGCCCGGTTTTATCTGTGCTTATCATTATCTAAATGATGCTGGATGATGTTAAAAAAAAAAGTGAAAAATCAAACACCTTGGAGATAACAGGTACGTAGCCTACTATGTTTTAGGAATGTGACTGACCAAGTCTCTGTCTTTAGATCAGTGTGTTTACTAATGTGCTTTTTAATCATTTGTTGTGGATCCAAACAATCTAAAAGCCAAACAGTCTTTCCTCATTCTTTGTGCAAGGCTCCTCATATAATCACCCTAAAGGGTCATTAGGGAGGGTCTTTGTATTTCTCAGGTGTGAAACACTGAATATTAATGGGTGTTTAACTTCTCCCTGCAGAAAGCTTTCTTACACAAAACATGTCTTACAAATTTTAAATGAATATGATCCCATCCCCTTTACGATCCACCCTAAAAATAGATAAGGAAGAAGCTACTCAAAGTTGAAACCGAAAAAGCTCTATCTCCACCTAAAAAGCTCTATCTTCTCTACGTTTGAGTCTAGTACGAGGAACATTGAGTATATTTAGCTTACTAGATCTTAGGCCGCGGGGCGGAATATAGTTGTGTAGAAGTTCAGACAGGTAACTTGGGGCAAGGTGATGCAGATATTTGTACACTAAAAGGAGAATTTTATAGTCAATCCTAAATTGGACTGGTAGCCAATGGAGAGCTCGCAGGATGGGAGTTTTTTTTAAAGAAATTTGGCCGCAGCGTTCTGGACCAATTGAAGACGAACGAGCTGGGACTTAGAAATGCCGCAGTACAATGAATTACAGTAATCCAAGCGGGATGTTATAAAAGCATGGATAGTTGTCTCAAGGGATTTTTTGGCAAGAAGGCGGAGTTGAAAAAACCTAGTAGCAACAACAGAAGACACCTGATTCTCTAGAGTCATTCGACTGTCTAGGAAAACTCCTAGGTTTCGTACACGGCTCATAGATAAATTACCTAAAAATATGTTGTCAAACTCAAATTTGTCGGATGGGGCAAAAACTATAACCTCAGTCTTTGAATCGTTTAAAGTTAAAAAGTCACTTGCCAGCCAAAGCTTCACGTCATAGAGACAGTCCAATAGAGAATTAAATGCAGAGGGGTCATTTCTTTTTATTGGCAAATAGATCTGCGTATCATCCGCATAAAAATGGAAAGAGATACCATGCTTTCTTATAATCGAGCCTAAAGGAAGCAGAGAGAAAAGTGAGGGAAATAAAATAGAGCCCTGAGGGAGTCCAGTTTCAACGGGAGCAGCAGAGGAGGCAAAACTGCCAATCCTGACTGAGAAATATCTGTCGGTTAGGTAGGATTTAAACCATTTTAAGACTAAACCTTTCAGCCCCATATATTTTAATCAAGATTGGAGAAGCAAATGATTGACAGTATCCAAAGCTGCAGTTAGGTCCCAAAGAATTAAAGAGCCCCTATCATAGCATTTGAAATGTTCCTATTTTTGTTTTAGGAGTTCCCAACAGTTTAATGTGCATGCAAGGACAAAAACTCTTTATTTGTCTTATAATTTGCATTTATTTTTAACTGATTTGCTCAACGACTCCCAAATGATTCGTTCGACGATTCATTTCCCCAAACACCTCCTTTGAGTGACACGAATCTGTGGCGATTGGTCAAATGACCCAGTCAGTTGTTATTGGTAAACCGTAGGCAGAGACTGTCGGCAACAGAACGCCATAACCAGGATTATAGCTTGTCAAGTGTTGAAAATTATATATAGTGTGAACAAACGTCTCCATCAAGAGCGAGCTTTCCCGGCGAAACTCACATTGCGGTGGCTTTTGAGGGGCAGTGCTAATTATATAGAGTGAAGTCATATTTGGCTAAGTCATTTAGGAGGTAATTGCCATTTTTCAATGAATGTCTGGTGAATATCAAAAACAAAACTAACTTTACCCCACTTAGAAGCTGCGCGGAGTGTACACAACACACACAACACAATATAACTATAGTGTGGTGCATGCTACAGAAAACATAATAGCAAACATTATTAATATTACTTACAGATTGTGATTCGGAGGAGGACGAACCTGATCCATATACACTGGATTGCAAATATTACTCATTGCAAATATGAACTCTGACCACTGTTTTTTCACATGCTCGTCCCTGGACAATGGAAACAAGTGGCTGAACTGTCTTTGCAATGTAGAACACAGCGTCTACTCGACATGATGCGACTCAGCTGGAGTATTTGAATGTGTTCTAGACGTCACTTCTGCGCGCTCAGTTGTTGGGAGCGGCCAATGACCTCTCTACGTCACGATGTAACAGCTAATGACTCGTTTCAAAAACAATTCATTTCATAGACTCGGAGTCGGCTCTCACTTTTGAAAGACAATAACTTTATATACGGTGCACTTTCAGATCTAAATCTTTGCAGGATGTTTTCATTCCCTTAGAGCTATAGTCCACACTACATGAACAGTCATTTTCAAAAATCCATGATAGGTGCTCTTTAAAACCATGGAGTCACCAGTGTCAGTAGCAACTAAAATGTCATTTAGCACTCTCAGCAAAGCAGATTCTGTACTGTGTAAAGACAAAACCAGACTGAAGTTCATAAAACAATTTTGTTTATAAAATGGACATGTTTCACAATCCTTCATTGTGACACAGTATCTTCGTTTTGATCACTATACTGTACTTACAATTTTGTCTTTATTTTACATAAATGCCATTTAACCCTAACCCTAATGCATTGAGATTCAGATAATTTGAAACTTGACTGTTTAAAGCACTACGGTTATTGCTGAGCAAGGAATCAGCACCTGTTTTGGGTTCCACTGAGAAGTAGGGCTCCCCCTGCAGGATTGAATAGATGAGTTTAGCATTGTTCCCAAACAAAGGGTCATCTGCATCTGTGGCTGTTACCTGGATAACTGTGGTCCCTGTAGAGAAGAGAGAAGGGTGAATGAGTAAATAGTGGTTCATTCACAAATATCATTGTGTAACTGTCCATTGAATCTGCCATTGCGTGTCTGTCTCTCATTCCCAAGATTTTTTTTTTCAGTGGGTTGTTGTCACTGTCATCTTTGGCTTGCTTAAGTCGGGTTATGCACTGTGCGATTTCAGCATGGTAACCTACTGACACTGTACGAGTAAATCGCATGTGATGTAAAGCCAAAGCTTGGGATTTACAGTGGAGAAAATATCTATTTGATCCCCTGATGATTTTTGTAAGTTTGCCCACTTACAAAGAAATGAAGGGTCTTTTCTTTTATGGTAGGTTATTTGAATGGATAGACAGAAATATCAACCAAAAAAAAAAAAAAAAAAAAAAAAAAAAAAAAAAACAGAAAGAAAAACATTATATAAGGTTATGAATTGATTAGCATTTGATTGAGTGAAATAAGTATTTGATTCCCAATCAACCAGCAAGAATCCTGGCTCCCAAAGATTGGTAATGTGCCCATGTGAAACACAGATTAGTCCTGTCACTTTAATAAAGTTTTCCTAATGTCAGCTTGTTATGTGTATAAAATACTTTTTTAACATTTATTTACATTTATTCATTTAGCTGACGCTTTTATCCAAAGCGACTTACAATTGCTATATATGTCAAAGGTCGCACGCCTCTGGAGCAACTCGGGGTTAAGTGTGCTGCTCAGGGACACATTGGTGTCTCACAGTGGATTTGAACCTGGGTCTCTCACACCAAAGGCATGTGTCTTATCCACTGCACCATCACCACCTTCCATTCCATCCTCTCCACCACCATGGCCAATACCAAAGGGCTGTGGATGGACATCGGGGACAAGATTGCAAACCTGCACAAGGCTGGAATGGGCTACAAGACCATCAGCAAGAAGCTTGGTGAGAAGACAACTGTTGGTGCCATTATTCAGAAATGGAAGAAATACAAGATAACCATCCATCGCCCTCGGCCTGTAGCTCCATGCAAGATCTGGGCTCATGGGGTACAGATGATCATGAGAATGAGATAAAGATGATCACAGGGATCAGCCCAGAACTACACGGGAGAAGCTTGTTCATGATCTTAAGGCAGTTGGGACCACAGTCACCAAGCAAACCATTGGGTAACACACTACACTGCAACGGATTGAAATCCTGCAGCGCCTGTAAGGTCCTCCTGCTCAGAAGGCACATGTACAGGCCCTTCTGAAGTTTGCCAATGAACATCTAAATGATTCAGAGAAGGCTTGGGAGAAAGTGCGGTGGCCAGATGAGACCAAAATTTAGCTCTTTGTCTTCAACTCAGCTTGTCGTGTTTGGAAGAAGTGAAATGCAGACTATGACCCCAAGAACACCATCCCTACAGTCAAGCATGTTTCTCTATTGTAAAATCTCGGACGAGACCCTCTTTCCCTCAACCAGAACACTGAAGATGGGTCGTGGATGGGTCTTCCAGCATGATAATGACCCAAAACATACTGCCCGTAACGGACGACAGTAACGGGATGTAAATGCAATAATACTCTTTATTAAAGTCCACAGACAAGGAGGTCAGAAGGCACAAAACACAGATGACAGCCAACACAGTAAAGAGTCGGGCGGACACCAACGCAAGATGGATGGTGATGCAGAGACCTCAGTGGACGGCTGGTGCTCTGATCCCGTGAATGTCCCTCGAGATGGTGCTCGGTGATCCAGCGAGGGTGCGTAAAATCCTGAGATTATTAATGACCACAGAGGGTCAGGACCTCGGTTTAACGTCTGATCCGAATGACGGGTATTGTTACTCATTTGTTCCTGTGTAGTTATTCATTAATGACAGAACAGTATTCTAAAGTGTCACCTCAAACTGTGTATGAACATAAACTTTTTTAGCACTCATAAAATCATTTATTAACATAGACCATGCATAATATTTTAAGTTTTCTTTATTTGTCATGAACATATGAAACAGTGGGTCAACGCACCTGTGGGACACATCTCTGGGATGCTGGATATGTAAGGCTCATTGATAAATTCTGGAGCATTGTCATTGATGTCCTGGACTTTAATAATAAACTCAGATTCAGGTTCAACAGGCTGTTTGGATCTGCGGTTGATGGCCTGGGCTTGCAGTAAGTAGAAGGACTTCAGCTCGCGATCCAGACACTGTAATGAGTGAAGGTCACCTGTGTACTCATCAATGATGAATATCTCACCAGCTCCTTCACCTGATAAGATGTACTTGATAGAAAAGTCGCCTGTGTCGTAATCTGATTTCAGCTGAAGGAAAATAAAGAGGATGTAAAAGAGATTTTGCAACTATATATATATATATATCTAATTATAATTAATAAAAGTAGAAAAAGACACCCTTGAGTCCTCACATTGACTATACACCGTCTGTCACGGTTTGGTGGCTGTAGTGAAGCGCATGATTTGGAAGTAACAAAATAGCATTTAATTGCAAATTTAAAACTAAAGAAACATGCAGGAGATCACTTGGAGATCACTTGGAGACATATAGTAACCACTACAACATCAATTTTAAATAACACAGGACAAGTAACAGACTGAAACTGAGGACTTAAATACATGAGGGCAAATAAAGGAGCTGGTGAGTTAACACGACACACATGAACAGAATACTCAAATCAATCAGAAACCGTGGAAACCAACAGGCAGGGGATGAGCAAGACCGAACTAACGGCAAACTCTCCAACAGAAAAGGAAAGCCTGAAAACAGACTCGGACTCTGACACCAGCTGAGCTGAGTAAGTACTGTATTGCTATTGGAGACTAAAATGTGAATATATTTAAATGAGCGTTAATACGGTTTAATGTTGTATTGTTTACTATTCAAAAGTACATGTAATTGGGTATGTAAGACATTGCTTACAATTTTACTGAAATAATTAACAACATTTTCTGAACTCACACTTTAATAATAATATTATACTTTAATAATATTTAATAATATTTTTTTTATTCTTCAATATTTTTTATTGCAACTTAATATTGTAATGTTAGGTTTTAGGGTTATTATTATTATTTTTGTTGGTAAATAAAATGGCTGTCACTGTAAGACTATCACAGAATTGGTTCATGAGCTCCCCATCCTTGTCTTTAAGCAATGTGACCTTTTCCCACATTTCTTTAGTTTAGAGGTGTCAAAGCCCATTGTGAACTCCAGTTATACCTGACCAATCTTCCTTGGTGTTGGATCTTCTTCTTCAACAAATATTTGGCTCCAAATCCAGCCACGTTTCACTCTCAGATGTGACCCACGAGAGGCTTTACTCGAACGGGTCTCTTGCTGTTTTCTTGAGATAAAAGTGTCACCCCCAAGCCAGCCAGGCACGATGAAGATCATGAGGAGCACATGAAGAACAGAACAGTTGTCCATTGTTGAGAAGTTTTTTGAATCAGTGTTTCATTGAGTGTTAGGGCTGGATGTCAGGGTGATAATGCCGACGGGGGAGACAGACTCAAACAGGGTATGAGGCAAAACTCCATTAGAAGGAAATGATGACTTTTCTGTTATTGAGAAAGAAGAAAGAGATTCTTAGAATGATTTATAGGGTTGAGGTGAAGGTGAACAGAATTCTTCAATAGACTGAAGTGTTGGAGTCTAGCTGGAGCACAAAAAAACCCATTAGAGTGAGACTACTGGGTAATGATCAGGCTAGGTGTAATCTGCAAGGGTTTTATCATTTTAGGAAATAAACAATAACAACAACAACAAACATATCATATATTTAACCATGTTTAACCGTGGACTTGGTGTTGTTGTAGTATGCACTCCTAGCCGCCTGAAGTGCATACTACATTGAATTTCACACACTTTTGCGTCTCCATTTGCACGCGGATTTCCCACCCAAAACGCTCGTCTAAACGCAGAATAAAAAAAAGATGACGCAACACCACTTTGCGTGTTCTCTTCAGAATCGTTTC